CGTTTATTAAAAAAATTTGTTGCTTGAAAAATTTTTGTGTAAATTTTTTTAAACAAATTCAAATTTGAAAAAAAAAATATTTTCAAATGGGTTAACAATTCATTTCAATTTGACATTATAGCCTGCTTATTTTTTTGTGGCATTAAATAAAGTATAAAAATTGGTCATACAAATGAAGAATTAAAAGCTTATCATCATCACAAATATATAGATATGCATACATGCAGATTTTTTCATGTTAGCTGAGCGGAAGATACCTAAAAATATTCGACAACTATATAATACTTTTAGAATAACTTTCCCGCCATGTTCAGTGCTTATTTAGTGCATTTTATTTTGGATACGGAAATCTTTTTATACACATAAGTATGTACATACATATGTGCATATTGATGCATATTAAATTTTACTGAAAATAATTTTTTGATGTTTTGATTTGTCCCAAGTTTTGGTGCTTTTAGGAAAGTTGGCAGCCATGGGGTCTCACAGTCGTGAGTACTCACTTATACTTGTTCTCTTATTCCGATCGCACATACAGATGCAATTCGCGCAAAATTTTCTGTTTCCCCCCGGGCATAATTCCCTCACCTCATCTACCCAACGGTTTGCACATTTGCCCGCGGTTTGCACGTTTAGGCATTTTGCCCGTATGTGCACATTATGCCCATCGCTAGTTTAAAGTACAAAACCGCGTATCAACAAAATGTAAAACCGCGCATCAAGATAATGCAAAACCGCGTATGTGAGATTGCTTAAATTATTTTATAGAGAGTAAAAGCACTCATATTTCAAAATGGTTATCTTTTTTATAAAGCAATCGGATTTCTGGCTGGCATATTTCAGGACGAATGGATAAGGATTGAGCCAAGAGCTTGTGTGAGCAAATCCAATTTTTGGCAGCCAATGTCAGTTACGCGGTTTTACAGAATGACTATACGCGGTTTTGTACTTTAAACCAGGGACGTGAACCGGATGAAAAATTTGGTTGGTTCGGTTCAGCGGTTCGAACCGTTGTTGCACTTTTGGATTGGTTCGTCAAAGCGGTTTTTTTGGTCTTTGAACCGGGGTCTCGGTTCGGTTCAACGGTTCGAAAAACAAAAAAATAACGCGCAAATTTAAGTGTCCAGTGTCAAGTGCAACAACGCGCAAGGTTAAGGGTCAAGTGAGATGGGATGCCTTTACATTTGATATTGTCACATGATAAAAAAACATGGTAGGTATTACCATGTTTAACAAAAAGAAAAAAAAGTGGGTACATTTATCTATTGAAAATTGGTTGAAACGAACCTTTAAACCTTTAAAGAAAGTGGTTCGGTTTTCGGTTCGGATCAAACATTTGTGAAAAATTTCGGTTCAGTTAATGGTTCAGTTAATTAATAGAAAAAAACGGTTTTCCGGTTAAAAACCGGTTCACGTCCCTGCTTTAAACGACGATATATATGTATGCATATATTTTCAGTATTTAAAATGTGAGTGATACACGTGGAAGGGCCCCTATTGTGTGGGCCGCTCTCACGGCGGCAACGTCAAAGCCTGATGTCGTTGGTAAAATTGGCATAGCCGTGCGCGCACTAGAGCTGTCAAACTATCGATAGTCAAGTCCATCGATGTTTTACGATAGTCTTAAGGGTGACTATCGATACTATCGATAGTATCGACCCATTTCATATGTTTTTCTAAATCCATTTATTTTTCGTTATCTTGTTTTTATAAATTTGTTTATTTTAGCGGCTCACGGTTGCATTTTAGTATTGAGAAATATTGCTAGAAATTCATTCGCCGTGTAAACAGTCAAGGAGCGAAAGACACTTTACATACATACATGCAAGGTGCCACTGCTCATGCAACTGCTTTCTGAAATTTCTCAATCTGACAGTCTTTTGAAATATACTGCATCGCCCGGTCTGACACGCTCTTAAGACGGCAATGTAACCTCTGCTATTCCCCCGCTTAAAATAAAAAATTGCGCTTTTAGAAATAATACGTTCATTCCTTATCTTTTTTGACTAAAATCTGAAAAGTGTCAAAATGTCAGAGCGTAAGCAAAATGCACTCACTAAAAGAGAATAACAGGAAAAAGTTAATGAACGCAAAATCCAAATTTTTAGTCCAAAGAATGGCAACAACAAAACTAACGTCAAACAAGAATAGAAATGTATGTACAAAACACATTCACTCAAGCACAAGCACAATATTGGCACTTGCTATATCAATTATTTTTTTGCTTCCTTCCAATTTCAATTAATTTTTTTACTTTTTACATTATTCTCACTTTTCGCGTATTATTTAATTTCCGTTAATTTAAATTCAGTTGAGTTTGACACTTTTCAAGATTTTGCCAGCAAAAATTCTTCTGACTAAATCTGACTACTTCGGACTGAAGAGAGTCATTCTCACTGAGTGTTGCTCTCTCATTTTTGCTGTTATTTTAGAGTTAAGGAACGCTTTTTGGACTAAATCTGACTACTTCGGACTTTTTCTGGCTATTTCTGGGAGATAAGGAACGCAACTAATGCCATGAACCAACTAAACTGATCACCCAGCGCGGCAACCGCGTATTTAAAATTGCATTTGAGAAAAAAATAATAGTTGATAACGTCATTTTTAATCGGTTGTTTCTCTCACACACATGGTTTCATTCCGTGGCGAAAAAATGACGTCACTGTGAAAAACATACTTTTCTCTCGCACAACGTCCTGGGTGATCTTTATTTTATTCGTTCGTTCATGAAATAATGCTGCAATGTTTTGTTGAACCAATACGTGCAAATGTCAAAAGCGCTAGGAAAGAGAATACGCTATCAATGAAACGATAGTGGCGATAGTACTAAAACTATCGATAGTTATTTCAAGTGACCAGACTATCGATACTATCGATAGTATCGTCGATAGTTTGACAGCTCTAGCGTGCACCCAACATAACAAAAGTGGCGATAAGGATTTGCGTATTAATGACGAAGGCAAGCGCGGGCTGGTCATCCGCTTCCATATATATTAAAGCCCCGCATTTGGCGTTAAATGATAGAATGAGACTACTGCTAGGCAGTGTTGCCAGAAAAAAGTTTCGTTTGGAGTTAAAACGATCGAAAAAACGAGCTAAATAATATTAAAAGTACCTAAAATGAACAGCTTATTTTTTTTTTAGTTGAGCATTTATTGACGTAATGTGGTTTTTACATTTTCCGCAATTTTACTAAAAACAACAAATAAATTTAATAGCTGAAAAAATTTTTAAAACCAAAGTTAGGTGCATATATCTCGAATTCGGATCTATGGCACTTATAACAGTTATATGTATGTATATATGCACATACTTACGTATATAAACTTGACAATGAACTAAAAATACTTTACACATTGTTAATGCCCGTATGATACGTTTTCTTTGTAGTATTGCGGGTGTATTTTGCACTGTATTTTGAAAGATAAAGTAATTTATATACGAGTTCAGTACTGTAAGGCCAAAAAATAAACTAGGTTGTTAAAAACAGTCCGGTCAACTTGTATTTCGTTAGGTTTTTTTGACAGATGGCTGTATTTCGTTCGTTTTTCTTACACAGCTGTTTGCATTTTGCCAGACGAGTTATTTTCTTAGCATAAACAAAATGGAAATACAATTAAACTAAGTACGTTATTGTCTTGCTACTTTAATTTATTTTTTTAATGTAACAAATCTGTTTTACGCAAATTTTAATTTCATTAATTTGAATTTCGTCGTTTTCTTCTTTACATAGATCTATAACTTCAACATCTTTCATATCTTCTTCGGACAAGTTCTTTTTCTTCCCCAAATTGTACCAAAGAATGAGTTCACTTCCCATACCTGTATCATAGACCTGTTTAAAATGCTTCCAGTTCTTTTGTACCTATTCACTGGAACATTTAATCGAAAACAATGGGTGCAATCTAGACAGCGAAAAGGCTGGAGTATTTTCATTGGAAAAGCGTAGTTGTAAAAAGACCGTTAGTGAATCCAGATACGATATTATTATAGACCGTCGCCAGTACTCATATTCATTGAAAGATGGCGGTTACTTCAGTTTTTTTGTTTACCTGATTCCTATATCAGCTGCAATCATACGAGATTTTTTTATTAACTCCGTAGTGACCCCTTCTGCATTCTTTCGATCATTCTTAACCACCTCCAAAAAAAATATTTTCAATATGCTGATCAAAGTCGATGAGGTCTTGAAATTCACTGCAATTCACTAATACTTTTACAAAAACCACCCTTTCTTTAAATTTTTGTAATTAATTATTTATATGAATCACATATCTTTAGAATTTAACACAATCAAACCATGTTCTGATGTAAAATTGTGAGAAGGATGCACAGCTGCATGCAAATAAAAATAAAAAGGCAACCAAAAATGCATTTTTAAAATTGAGGTGTTAACATTTTTTTCGATTTTTAAAAATTGAAATCCGGTTGATTTGGCTGTTTTTTTTTCGAAGAACACTGTTTTCTTACGGTCAAGGAGTAATTTTGGGTCAATGGCAGCATTTTTCCGTGAAAGGGAATAACATAAGCTCTTAAAACCATTTTGTTTCATATCAAAATGTTGCTTCTGTCGAAAACGCTACACTTAATTCGCATGGAGTGTTCAAAACGCACACTGTGTGGCGCAATCTTATATGTATTCTATCATTCTTGAGCAGCTACGTACCAAATCCGTCAACGGGGCCCTGAAACTACCGATTTCCCATGATGCAATAATACAGGTGTTATCAGTTGGCAACTTCTCGCTCTAATTCCGCCATATTGACTGCCTTAGGTGAGACAGTTTTACTTCTTTAACAATTCTTTGTCTAATAATATAATTGAATATTTTTTTATTTTTTCTCAGTATACACATTTTTTTCTTAAAAAGGTATTTTATCTTATTTTATTTCATTTCATTACGAATATTCTATAAAAAAGCAAATTTTGTTTAGGAAAAAATTTTAAATTTTATATTTTTCCCCCAAATGGGGCTTAATTTCTTCCCGTTTTTCTTCTCGTTCTACTGAGCTAAGGCAGTGTCAATTCGAGCTGTCACAATTGATACCACCTTGTATTGCATCATGACGATTTCCATCATAAGCGCCAACAACGTTGAATAACTCGCAAAACGTCAACTACTCGAATGAACCACCCCAACAAAAATGACGACAATAGCAATATATATGTACATATGTATGTATATATGTACATCCATATGATACATACATACATGCAATCACACCCAATTCAAGTGACTGCCTATACACAGCAGAGTGGCGTTGCGCTGTCGACGCTGGTGCTGCGTGGTGACGCGCACTACATACCAGACCGACTTGGTTTTCTACAGAAAGGCATCAAAATGTTTTCATTCGTTTGTTGAATATCGAATAAAACGGTTCCGTAATCTCTCCCCGGGCTTAACAAGCAAATAAAGAAAGCAAATACATATATGTTTATTAAACAAAACTGAAACTTATTGAAAATTCCGGAGCTAAACATAAACAAAAAGCAGTTACTAAATAATTTCAAGAGATTTTACTTTTTATTAAAGTGCAAGTGCAAAGCGAATTTTGCAAACATAGAAAATTAATAAAAGCGCAGAAAATAAAAATTATTCACATGAATAAAGTACTAAAACATTGTTACAAAGAGTGAATTTAAAATTTTTCCTGTAAATTTCTGGACAGCGTTGGATAACTTTATAAAATCGACAATTTTTAGTGAGGAACAAAGACACAATGGATATTACAATATTGCCTTCACCGCCAGCAACGCCGCCATTGTGCGAAAAACAAATTGAAGCTGTGAGTGCGCCAATACTTTCGAAAAAATGTTTTATATTAAAACTTCGATATATGTACATGTGTATGTAGATACGTAAGAGTATGTATGAACGTATAAAAATATTTGTGGGAGTGCATGATTTTTGTTGCACGCTCTCAGAGAGTGACACATTAAATTTGTTATTATCGGTTAACGCAACAACAACAACGACATTGTAATAAAAAAAAATAATTTGCAACTCTGTCTCAGCGGATGCACACTCCCCCTTTTTTGGAAATAGTGAATTGAATTTGTATACACATGTAGGTACATGCATATGTATGTACATATGTATTTTCGCTTTCAATGACTTAATAAGCACCTACATTAAATTTCATCGCACAAAATATATTCAAAGTAAATGTTATTTATACCACGTACATACATATACATATATGTATACATTCATACCCAATCGGAAAAATGAGAAGCGATTCTAAGTGAACGCCTTCAGGAAGGAATTATTCAATAAGACCTCTTTGGAAACTTTATTAGAATATCTTCCAATAACGCTGTAAAGTGTAAATAATCGGGCATGGAAGGCCTATCGCTTCAAAAATTCCGCATTAAAGGCTCGCAGAAGGCCGCTTTGTTTCCAACTTTGCCGACTGGGTATGTATGTACATACATATATACATACACATGTATGTATTTATGTATGTCCATATACATACTTCGTGATTTTTGGTATTTTAAGAAATTAAGTACACTCAAATAAAAGTCGCTTACAATCTCAATAAAAAGTAATGCAAGGTTTTTGGTAAAAAAACCAAGAGTGTTAAAATTCTCCCAACGATTTTTAACTGAAAATTTGTACGCAAAAAAGTCTTAAATTACCTACCCAGCAAAAAAAAATCCGTTACCTCTGAAATGAATGTGGAATCGGAAGAAAAGCTCGTAAGCGCTTCCCCTTTCGCTTCTAGAAGCCATTACTTTAACATGGGCATGTCATTGGCGGTAATGGCTTGTAGACGACTTTACCCCTGCAAAAATCGCGACTACTCCATGCATGTGTGTAAAGAGTACTCCCTAAGGATCAAGGAGTACTCCAAAATTAACCACAATTCATATAAATAATATGGTCCAATTAACATTGCGATGTCCTAGGGCAGGACCATATACTCCATCAATGCTTTACATCAGAGTAGCACAAAACTACTCCAACATATTAACAATGACATTGTTGTTATATTTTTTCGTTTGTACACGTATTTCTTCTTCACTTCTCAGATGCTTTTTCGAAATTAATAAAAACCAAAAACTAAAATTAAAAATCACATGTTGCCTCTGACGGCATTCGAACCCGAACATGCTGGGAGCTAACTAACAGCGAGCATCTCTACACGGTCAGCTACAGCCAGACATGCAAATGTGCTTTCAAATGCTCAACTTCAATCACATTTCGTTAAAACACGAGCAGTGATCGGGTAACAAACAATAAGCTGGCGCAGAGACACGAGTTGGTCCGCTACAGCAGGACAGAGGAACACTTTTGTAAGTACTCCAATATACCACAAATGGACTACAAGGTCCAACGATTTTTGCAGGGTACATTCCCCGTAATGGATTAAAGAAGCGAAAGACAGTTGAGACATTCGAAAGTAATTCGATGCACAAAATATCGAATCCCTTCAAGTGGCAACGTGTTACCGACATACATACATACAGTCATGACAGTGACATAAATTTCCAGCGTGATATTTTTGTTAATTTTACTTTTGAACGAATTTTTAACGCAAATAAAACATGAATTTTATGTTGCATATACTTTGTGTTTTGACTTAAGCGCCAATTCTGTGTAAATTTTTCGGAAATCTGTGATTTAAACAGGCCGGTTCTGAACTCTCTTTTCCCTTTCCTCCCATTATGAATAAAAGTTCCCCGAGGATTTTTTATCTTAAATGGCGGAGTTGAGCTGTCAAAAAAGTGTCAAACAGCTATTTCGAAGTGCGAATTTACTCCTCCCAAATTTTCGGGGAAAATGCTACTCCCTGGGAGTTAATCATTGGAGGATTTCTTTCTCGAGAATTGTGATGATTATGTTTCAACCACATACACCAAATTTGAACCAAATCCGACCATATATACGGTTTTTCAAAAAATCTCGGCCCTGGCGTCACCTAGCAAGACCATTGTTCGCAAAAATGTTTCTACGTATGCAAGTATATATTTTAAAAAGCAGACAATATGGCCCATAAATACGTTAGATATATGACTTTTATTTTTTACTTGTCGCGGTAGACCTTTCGATGGAAATACCCATATGTACATACATCCATGCATACATATTTCCATGTATAGAAAGACATTTTTTTACGACCACGCGAAGTATAAAAAGGTAATAGCAGAAGAAACGGCAGAAATCTTTCACATAGTCGTATGACAAAACCTCGTACCTGGATATGCAGGAGCGGAAAATTGACATCTATGATACCGTCATGTTAATAATACTAGTCGCTAACATTGAAAAAGGATGGAACGTGAATTAGTTGGACTGTAAGGCAAACAGTGTTGCCAGAGAATAATTTCGTTTGCAGCTGAAACGGTCGAAAAAGAGAGCTTAATAATACTAATAGTAGCTAAAATGAAGAGCTACATATTTTTGTTAAGGTTGAGCATTTATTGACGTAAGGTTGTTTTTACATTTTCGGAAATTTTAATAAAAACAACGACTTTTATAAGTTTAAGTGCTGAAAAATCTTTCAAAACCAAAATAAGGTGCATATATTTCGAATTTGTTGCTATGGCACTTATAACAGTGAACTAAAAATACTTTACAAACTGTCAGTCTGTAATTTCAGATATTTGAATTGAACAATTTTTTCGCAAAATTTTTCTGTAAAGTTTTACTTCCAGCTCTCCTTAAAGGTAAAATTAGTAAGGTAAAACAAAATCTGCGTTATCAGAAAAAGGTTTTTCTTTTAATTAATTTTTGAATTCTTTAACCGAAATTCAAGAGTTTATGGTGGATACACTACATCTCGAAATTTTTGCTTATATATACTAAATACAACTAAAACTTTCTGGAGCTAAAAAAGGTGCTAGATAAATTTGAAAAGAGCTAAAAAAGAGCTAGGAGCTAAAACCCAATTTTCGGAGCTAAAGAGAAAAAACTAAATCTAGCTCCAGAAGCAGCAAAATGGCAACACTGAAGGCAAATAGGTAGCATTTTAGTTTACAATTAGTACCTCTCTACAGGGCTACTATACTACATACATATATATACATAGCTACATGCATATGTTCCCATTAACGTATCTACACCCGTGCTCCTAGCAATGAAAAAATTTGTTTTTGCCCGTCCATCGCATTCGAGCGCACGCATTTTGTGAAAACAAATCTTCTCCATCGCATTCGCACTCAGCGCCGGTATTGTAATCACGCCGTGTTCACTCGGCCGTCAGCTGGTGTTCACGTGAACAGAGCATGGCCGTCATGCCTCCAAATGGTAATCTATATGCTTACATACATATGTGTATGTGTACATACATGCAAATAAAAATTTCATCACACAGATTCACCCATACTCGCTCATCGGACTAGCCCATTTTTTCCAATTAGCACTAGGTTGTTGTTGCCTAGTCAAGTGGATGGAGGATAAATTGGGCTGTTGCGCGCTCCCTGCTATTTATTACATATTCTCGCCGCGGTTGCCACTTGTTATAAAAATAACCAACGAAAATCTGCAGAAAATAACCCAAATTACAAAAAAAAAACGAAATTTGTTATTCACGTATCTATTACAAAAAGCAAAACTTATTACAAAAAGAAACAAAAATTTAACAATTTTATTGAGCTTTAGGCCGGATTTTTTAAATGAAAATTTTGTGGAAAAACAACATTAATTTACATTTTGGTATAAGTTATAGCTGATATTTCGGAAATCCAAAATTATTGAAATTCTTGTGCGTTCAATCAAATATTAACTTTTTATATGCACATATAGTTCTTCATCTAAAGTGATAAAGGGATAAATTTCTAAAATTTATCAGTTTACCCGCATTCATTCATTAACGCACCTTGGTAAACAATTGCATAAAACTGCTTACTATTTAACTTATATGGCTAGTTACGTCTCATTTAGCAAAAGCGACTACCTGGCGCAACCTGTAAGGGTTGAATTTTTCTGAAATTTATACATTTATCCACCAAAGTCGTTTCATAAAGTGATTAACTTTGGCTAAATAGTTTTTCATACAAAGTTTGGCAGTTCATTTATCAAAATGATAAATTTATCATTTTATTAAGTTTATTAAGAGTTTATCACTTTTGATGAAGACCCCTATTAAAAACACTAAAATGAAAATTTCATTTATTCATTTATGGCATTCAGTATGCAATACTACTTTTTGTAAAGAAAAAATTTGCTAATTTCTAATATAAAAACACAACCAAACCAAGCCAGAGAAAAAACTGCCAAATAACTAAATTAGAAAAATTAAAGAAAAACAACGAACAGTGGCAACCGAGATTCTCGCTATTGTTGTGGCGCTGAGAGAGCCAATAAGCTACACGGTAACTGAGAGATGTGTGAGCTAATGGGCAAAAATGTGGGGCGGTGTCACCGCGGTCTTCACACTATGAATGTGCATATGCATATGTACATATGTACATATGTCTGTCTGTCTACTCGAGCACGACATCACTACGTGAATTGTTCGTGGCGGTACTAAGGAAGGTTGCTGACGACGATGACTTGTTCCGTTCCAGCTTATGTTTGCATATTTCTTCGAGATTTAGCATATTAACAAACTAAGATTTTACTTTGTCAAATTATATACATTTACTTAATAAATTAATTTGATTAAACTCCTATATGTATGTATGTATGTATATTGAGTCGCCACTATCTAATAAACTCTAAACTAAAGCTGAACGCTTGCTTCGCTTTGCGTGACAGATTCGCTTTGACAGATAAGATGAATTCTATGAAAACGCACAAAGCATGCCACATATGAAGATCATTGCAGCTGCAGCGCGA